GGGATACAATATTCCGCCTCGGTGTGGTAGCAAGGGATGCGAAGCAAGATCTATTTAAATATGGTATGAAAATGGTCTGTCTATCTTACCAAGATATATGCTTTTGCGCAGCGATGACGTTTGCATCCAGTGGGATGGAGTATTCGGTACTACAGAAATGTGGATCGGGGAGTAGCAATAATGCTACATTACTGCCCGGAAAGTTGATACCAGTGAAGGTTATTGCCGGTGGCCTTGACTGTTTCAGGATCGCGAAGATACACCTCAACTTTAGAGGACCAAAGTCGATTTGGGCCACAATGGAGGTGGAAGATGGATTATCTACGAATTCGAGAAATTATAGAGTGAAGATTGGTGGTTTCGTAGGTAGATAGGTGGACGGAGGTATTCGTACAGTAGTTCCAAGATGGAATGCCGGTCGACCCGGCAGCAAGCACCCCTCCGCCTCAGTGCATGCCATGTGCGCAAGTTCCAGGACATCCCACAGGCTCGCTGGATTTTAGCTAAGGTTGTTTCTGCGATTGTAGCGCGAGCTTTAATCCCGAACGTTCCTACCAAAGACGTTGAATGCCTAGTACCCGACCCAACGTGCCTGCGCATCGAAACGTGGATTGCGACTGTGCACAAGTGTGTATTTTGCCGTTGCTCCCCGGTGCCCACAAGGCGTTGCCAAGCACATGCATCCCGTATCTGCTTTATTGCATATGTTCTACGCCTAGTCTAGGTGGATCTCTTCTCTTCGCTTCTGCTGGCCATCACCAACATTCCACCCAGTATCCAAACCAACGTCAGCCAGGAAAGACATCTACAACCCCGTAGCATCACTGTATTCGCTACTGCCTGCTTGTTTCACGAATCAATTTAGCAATTTGACTCTTTGCTGTAGCGCAGCATATCTCCAAGATGCCGAAAGCGCGCAGAGGTAAGCTCTGTTCCGCATGATTCGGTGAAGAGATGGCTGAGCCCAGAATAAAAGGTGTACTCGTCGAGTGCGATCCATCCATCAAATCAATCATCATGAACATCGACAGCGAAAACAACGAATATATTCTGCATGATCTCGATGATACACACCTACTCATTAACGAGAACAAGGTTCAAGATCTGAAGCGCAGGCTCGACGACGTAGGATGACTTACTGCGCAACTCCGTTTTCATGTCACTAACCATAATGCAGCGTCTCAAGGAGACCGTACAGGAGATTGAACGGGATTCAGACTCTGATCGGGACGTAAAGGAAGGGGAGAGGAGACGATAAACTGCACTTGGGCTTCACACCTCGCTTTAAGTCATACATGCACTCCACGGCGTTTGGCGCATCGCATTTCCATCTCTATTCTTCAGCGAACAGTGTCAAATTCAGAGCCTATGGAACCATCTTTACTGTAGCTCGGACTTGTACAGCTACTTTTTCGCCATCCACGGCTCGTCATTTTACAAGCTGTCATCAGTTCAGTCGGATCTTTCAACTACAGTTTCTCGAATCGCGGCTTCGTCTTCTTCAGCCCGGATAACAAAGCAGCCTGGACATCATTTGCCTGAAGCATAGCAGAGTTCCAAACAGCTGTGTACTTGAGACCTATTCATACATCAGCAAACGAATCATCTCAAGACCCTTGGGAGAACAAAACTTACTGTCTGCAATGGTGTTGTCCCTGGCGTGGTTAATCAACTCCTTGGTTCCCTGCACAGCAATAGGACTCTTGGTGGCGATGAGACCAGCCAATTTAAAGGCGGCTTCAACCGTCTTGGCCTTGTTTTCGTATACCTGGCTCACGAAGCCGAACGCGAGGGCCTCGTCAGCGCCAAAGATTCTTGCAGACAGTGCGAGCTCTTTGACCCAAGAAAGGCTGCCAACAATCTTTGGCAATCTGCTTAGCGTGCCAATGTCAGCAGCCAGCCCAATATCGACTTCCTTGACGGCCAGCTTGACATCCTTTGAGCAGATTCTGATATCACAACACGATGACATGTCGATGGCTAGGCCAAGCGAGATGCCGTGGAGCACAGCGATCGTTGCTGTATGCTAGTCAGCAGCTGTCGACCGGTAGTGGATACAAATGATTGACATACGCTTCTCGCACTTTTCAATCTTGCTGATCCATTCTTGAAACTCCAGTATGTGCCTCCGCGAAGAGTTGGCTACTCTTGCGCCATCCACTGGTGGCGGCTTGTTGATCCAGCTCTCACTCGCCGCCTGCACGTCCAATCCAGCAGTAAATGCTCGTTCGCCAGCGCCAGTCAAGATGACAGCTCGCACATCAGGATCGTATGATAACTTGTCAAAAATCTGGCCTATTTCCACCCACATCGCCTCGTAGAAGGCGTTCAGTTTCTCAGGCCGGTTGATTTCAACGTGAGCCACGAACTCGCTTGGGGATGACACATTGAAGTGCTTGAAGTGGGAGTAGCCTTGTAACGCAGACATGGTCGTTGATGAATAAATGGAGATGCCTGCTAATGTTGAAAAGATATAAACTAGAAGAAAACTGCAGGTACTAGCAAAAGTGTCCGCGGCTTTTGGTTTTGTAATAAATGGAATGCCAATAACTCCTCCCCCAGAGAATGCGGTAAGCCAGTGCTATGCCTCGGCACGTTGCAGCAATATCTGGGGTTCTCCGCCGACCGTTCTGCACCGCGCCGACTTGGCCAGGGTAGTCAGTCGATCTTATCGATTACCGCGCTAACCCCACCACGGCTAAAGCATCGGTAGAAAATATCCAATTGACCGACGACCATAAAAAAAAAGTTGGAAAGTTCCCATAGGAAATTTTGACCTTAGCAGAATTGAGGCTCAACACTGCACGTAACTTCGTTCCAGACGGCACCAAGAAACGCCCTGCCTGTCGCAAACCGTTCACAATGGCAGCAGAAGTAGCACCGCTACCGCAGCTGAAGCTGCCACAGGGTCCCTCGCCCGTGACTGCAGAACATCGCTACTGGAAGACGTTCAAGAACCAGCTCCGTATACCCTCCCCCACGCAGTATCCCATCACCCACATCACCTTCCCCGCGACGAGCGCCAACAGCTTGAGCTCAGTGAGCAACGACCTCTTTGCTGTCACCGCCGGCACCAGAGTCCAGCTCTACTCGATACGGACGCGCAAGCTGGTCAAGACGATCACGCGATTCTCGGACATTGCAAGGAGTGGTGATGTACGACGAGATGGCAAGATCATGGTGGCGGGCGACGACACGGGCAAGATCCAGGTCTTTGACATTCACTCGCGCGCGATCCTCAAGACGTGGACGGGACACAAGCAGCCAACATGGAAGACCCAGTTCTCCCCAGCCGACCTTACGACCCTCATGTCCGCTAGCGATGACAAGACCGTGAGACTATGGGACCTGCCGAGCAATGACAGCACCTCGACCTTTGTCGGTCACTCGGACTATGTTCGAAGCGGCGCCTTTATGCCGGGGACTATGTCCAACATGATTGTTTCTGGCAGTTACGATCAGACTGTAAAGCTTTGGGATCCTAGAGTCCAGGGCAAGGCCGTCATGACCTTCAAGCACGCCCACCCCGTCGAGGATGTTCTGCCGCTGCCTTCTGGCACCACCGTCCTCGCCGCCGCCGAGTCGCAGATCTCCGTTCTCGATCTAGTAGCCGCCAAGCCATTGCACCTCATCACCAACCACCAAAAGACGGTCACCTCCCTCTCCCTCGCATCGGGTGGTAAGCGCGTAGTATCTGGTGGACTGGACGGTCACGTCAAGGTTTTTGAGACAACGGGATGGAATGTGGTGGCAGGTATCAAGTACCCTTCGCCTATTTTGTCGGTCAAGGTCATTACTTCGGGGGCGAACGGCGACGATAGGCACCTGGCTGTGGGTATGCAGTCGGGTGTCCTCTCGCTGCGAACTCGTCTTACGGGCCCGGAAGCCTCCCGTGAGAAGGAGAGAGAAAAGGAAATGGCCGCCCTGCTCGCCGGCAAGATTGATTCACACGACAAGTCGAAGCGCAAGCGCAAGGGTCGTATCGCAGAAGCCAACCGTCTGGACCTTGTCGGCGAAGGCGCCGATGTGGTCATTGCAGGTAACTCGGCCGCTCGCAACAAGTCCATCAAGGAGAAGCCGTGGCAAAAGGACCTGCGACGCGGCCACTTTGTCCAGGCCCTCGACCGGGTGCTCGACGCTTCGTCCCCGCACTACACGCCGTTGACGGTACTGACGCTCCTGGTGGCTCTCCGACACCGTTCCGCGTTGCGCGAGGCTCTGGAGGGCCGTGACGAGGAGACGGTACAGCCCATCCTCAACTGGGTACAGAAGCACATTGTCGACCCCAGATACGTCAGCGTCTGTGTCGACACTTCCATGCACCTTCTCGACCTCTACTCTGAATTCGTGGGCGGCAGCAAGGAGTTGGAGGATAACTTCCGCCTGCTCCACAAGAGGGTACGGCGAGAGATTGAGACGGCACAGATGGCGACTCAGACTGGGGGAATGCTGGGTGGTCTGCTGATTGGAATGGCCTAAGCTCCCGCGCTGAAGCAAGACTGTCGGAAAACCAAAAAGTTGGATGCTTGAAATTTTACCTGCATAGCGAGGCGTTCTAGGATGGACAAAACAAAAAACAATGGCTCTGTATGTCTACATGAAAAGAGTGTTTAGTAGTGCATAATTGTGGCTAGATAGATACCTATCAGAGAGGATCCTGAGAATAAAGTAAAATCCCTGACATTGTGTTCCATGTTCTGATATTCGTCATGCTTTGGCGCTCAGCCTTGACTCGACCAGGTGGTTCACCGTGCAAGTACTTATGGCCCTTACAATCATAAGTTGGGTCGGTCCCTTGCTACGAATCACAGTATGATGGCTTGTTTCTTGCCGGCTGTTGGATATTCGACTAGGGACCAGCTAAGTGAGACGAATGGAATAACAATTATGATAAGTGAGTCTCCAAGAACTTGAGCATTGCTAGGGGAGAGATAGCGAGAATTAGATGACCTCTCTCACAACCAGACAACCAAGTTCGCCAGACAGCATCTGGAATACCAGCGCCTGTAGTATAGTGGTTATTATTCTCGCCTTCCAAGCGAGAGACTGGGGTTCGATTCCCCACGGGCGCAGAGTTTTTGATTATTTTTGCCTTTGTGATGGCTTAGGAGCACGATCAGATGCAGCGAGTCGAGTCGGCCTTTCCAAGAAGAAAAGAGTGTGTTTATGTTATTTAGGATATCTATCATATAAAAGGGAGACCCTAAGGACAATAATGGCTGCTCAAAAGAGAGTATTCCTCCAAGAATAGCAGATATGGTCGGGTAGAACAGATGTTTTGAAGGGGGAAAAAAAGAAAAAAAAGAATAGCACCACTCCGTTTCGATCGGAGGTCCTCCGGGTTATGAGCCCGGCGCGCTTCCGCTGCGCCATGGTGCTTTGGGATTTGCTGTTGAGAATATGTGCCCTATTTTGACTCTTGTTACGTAGGTGAATTTAGGTGTTGGGAACTTTTTTTTTTCCTTTCTTTGGGGCGTGGTGGCCCAACCAGAAACTCTACTGATCAAGTTTCGCCGTACCAGAGACTTTCTGACGAGCATAAAAGTGACGAAATTGCCGTATCATTATCTAATGATTATGGACGGATAGTTGCCATGCCTGCCTCTTGTTGCGATCACTTCGACTTTGGCTAGCTAGCTGCCATCCACTATTCACTGCCAACACGGTGAGCCATAAAGGCATGGAGATGGACTCCCATCTTATAAACCAGTGTAACCTGCAGCACGGATCCGACCTCAAGCGCCTGGGAGAGGCCGCCCGGTCCGGGAGCCGAATTAGCCATAAGCGTTACATGAACCATCTTGACCATGCCTGGAAGTTTGTGTCTGTCCAAGGCTTGCGTGACTGACCCCCCATTTATCTGAATTATATAGTGCTCTAGGAAATAGCATAATACTATGCTCTTTTATCGAGGAAAATTCTTTAGTATCGAGAGAATATTCTTCGGATTTAACCATTACGTAATAGAAAGGAATATTAGAATATGAAAGAGTTATTGAGCTTTATTGATATATACGATGCATTCTTTGATCTGATCAAGCTCACTCGCTCGTTCCAATTCCCCGGTGAAAGACGGCAAGTACTATTGTCGCGTTAGAAAGCTCAATTTATATTATGGAAGAGTGCTCAGCATACTATTGATGCGCTCCTGCTTGTTCAAGCCATCTTCAGTGGCGATTTCTTGGCCGGTGTCTTGGTGGGCGTTCCACGTTCGGCGCGCACGCCCATTCGCTCCATCTCGAGGTCGTTCGTGTAGATGCTCAGCAGGTTGCGGCCTCGACGGTGCAGCAGCGTGACCTTCTTCTTCTGCTCAGGCTTCGGCGACGCGCTCAGGGGAGGTCGGAGAGCGTATGAGTAGGTCCAGGCCGTGCCGCGGCGACGAGCCTCCTTCTCACGCTCCAACTGACGGCGATGGCGAAGGTGGCTGACGATGAAGATGGTGACGACGACCATCGGGAGGCATGCGAGGAAGACATAAAGGGCGATCCAATTGGATCCGGCCTTCCAGTAGTCGCCGTTGATCTGCTTCATGGTGATTGATGGTTTGGCGGCTTCGAGTTTCTGTCTGTATGTGCGTGTCTGGATGTATGGACGGATGGATGAATGGGTTTAAGTGTGTGATTGTGTTTGGGGGATGTTGTGCTTCGCTTGTGTGCCAGCCGACGAGAATCTTTTATTCTTGCTTTTTGGTGGGCAGATCGGATTGTTCAAAGGGCGTTTGAACGGCGGCGCAAATTTTCGTTGTCAACCCAGCAACACATACGTCCTGTGCACTTCCTCACTCGTGTTCCAATGCACGAGTCTTTGGGCCTTGGCATTATTTCTCCACGAGGCGGCTTCTTGGGACGATTTTCTTGCAAAACTGCATGGTCATATTTAATGGCATGTGCTATCCGTCGGTGCAAGTCTGGCTCAGATTGTTTGTGCATTCTTTATATCAACTATGATATATACAATTTGGACTGAGAAGGATGAGGAAAGAATAAGAAGCTATTGCGGTAAAAGTCAGATAAGCCATATTCTTTGTATCGAGAAAAGTTCATTAATATCAGAAAGAATTCGCAGCCTGCTATTTATTGCAAATTTGCCTGAGCTCGGCTAGACTTATACATAACCTGAATAAAGTAGGTGTGAAAGAAAGTGACAAAAAGGAATGAGTCGTAGTTGTCGTTGTATATCTTGGGCAATCAAACTCTCACATCTCTTTTCGGCATTTCTCAATTCTTTTTCACGCCGCTCAGTGCGGCTTCCCTCAGTATCCGAACGGCATCTTTTGCAGATCCTTCAATGTCAAAGGTCCAAATTTGGTGGAATATACGTGTAATCACCCGACTAAACTTTTCAGAATCGCTCCCAACATCGGGATCCCTCCACTGGAACAAGTCACAGGCCACTCTGGTCTGCCGCACCAGCCACTGCGTGCGGTCGTACCGCTCGTCATTGTACACTCTCAACAAGTCGCGGCACATTTGGGCGCGGAAGCGCTGGTCCGAGGCCTCGTTGACCGTACGGAGGAGCTCGGCCAGGACCAGGGCGTCCTCCATGCCGAACCCGGCGCCGGCGCCCAGGTGCGGACCCGCGGCGTGGGCGGCGTCGCCGGCGACGCACACCCTCCCCCTGGCGTAAAACGGCGCCGGGTGCTCCATCATGTCGAAAATGGCCCACTTGTCCATCTCCTCGGGCATGAGGTCGACCACGGCCCTGACCGTCGGGTGCCAGTCGGCAAAGGCGTTGAGGGCCTCTTGCTTGCGGCCCCGGGCAATGTGCCGGCCGTCCTCGGTCTCCCACGGGTTCGGGTCGGATATCACGAGGAGCACGTTGAGCAGGTCCTTGGTCACGGGGTAGGTGATGGCGTGGGCGTTGGGCCCATTGTACATGAAGCGCGTCGACGTTCTGTCGCTGCTGAGCGTCCTGAGCGCCTCCTGGGTGGGCACCAGGGCGCGGAAGCAAAACTTGTTCGAGTATGAGGGCTGAGAAGCGGGACTGTCCTTTCCGAGGACGAGCTGGCGTATACTTGAATGAATGCCATCACATCCAATTACTACACCGACACAATCAGCAACACTTCATTGCGGATCGTGGGAGTTGTCTTTTGTTGTTCATGGCTAAGCGGACATCAAGACCCGGGCTCGAGTCTGTATGCACTTACCAATATCAGCCACGTCTTCCGTCCCATCTCGAAAACGTATTCTCACACCCTCATCCCCGATCTCTTCAATCTCCTCTGCAGCTTTCCCCAGCCGCACCTTTTCCTCGGGAATCATCTTGACCAGCTCGTCCAAAAAGTCACTCCTCCGACACCCCTGAAACCCCTGCTCGCCCAGGTAGAGCTCGTAGATGAGCTCGTCGGTCGCCTGCCCGTCGACCCACTGGAAGTAGTCGCGGCCGTTGGGCATGGCGACGCGCTTGTACGCGGCGTGGACGTGCTCACCCAGGGCCCGCAGCGCCACCTCGGCGTTGGGCGAGAAGCCGACGCCCGCGCCAATCTCCTTGAACGCGGCGGTGCGCTCGTACAGCGTGTAGGACACGCCGCGGGCCTCCAGGCCCAGGGCCAGCGTTACGCCCGTGATGCCGCCGCCGATGACCGCCACGTGCAGGGGCCGGCCATCGGGGCTCCCGGGCGCGTTTGTGTATGGTGGCGTGAGCATCTTGAGTAATAGTTACACTCGACACTGGGGCAGATTTTTTTGTCGTCGGTTCCTCTTTATCAGGATCTCTCCGTGGTCTAGGTGATTTATAAGACAGCTTGGTACATGAGATGAATACAAATATAGATATCATGAACGGCCGAAGGTTTGAGCACCGAGTGGCACGTTGTCGGTGTCGTGTGGGGTACCCCGGGACCGGAGCACCGGCAGTTCGGCGCCTAGATGCCATACATGACATTATAAGTCTCACAAGATGAGAGATCACTTTGACTTAATAGTTCCTATTATTACTTGTGGTAAATTGCTAGCCAAGTCTCATAGAGTCGAAATTGTCCAATTTCATCACGCGCCTTTAAATACTTATACGATGACTGTCGACAGCCACACGTCCCGCGGAAAGGTATTGCTCACAGGTACTGAGTCATTGAATGCAATGTGTAACTGAGGATTTTATCTGACTAATAATTTCAGGTGGAAGTGGTTTCATAGCCTCACACATTCTTGATTGTCTTCTAGCAGAAGGGTAATGACTCCTTTTGAATATCCACTCCTGGCGGTCTTTGTCTCCAACTGATCTGAGTATTGACTAGCACATAGCTTCGAGGTGGTTGCAACAGCACGTTCAAAACAAAAAGGACACCAAATCGTTGAAGGCGTCGAAAAAGAATATGCAAAGAATGTCGAGTATGCCGTGGTTGAGGATATAGCCCAGCCAGGGGCGTTTGACCATGTAAGCACTCTTTCACGTTGCTTGATCAGATTCATTTCCCTTCTGTCCTGTCTGAGAGACTATACCCAAGCATACTACTGTTTCTTTGGGCCCTCGAAGCCCAAATTCAAGGAATTGACATGTTCTCTATAACTTTATAGGTCCTCCAGGCCACCCCTTTCGACTTTATCATCCACGCCGCGTCACCGTACCACCTCAACGTGGTCGACCCAGTCAAGGACTTTCTCGACCCGGCCATCAAGGGCACGACGGGCCTCTTGCAGTCCGTTGCCTCGTACGCGCCGACGGTGCGCCGCGTCGTCATCACGTCCTCGTCGGCCGCCATGCTCAACCCGGGCCACCACGCCGCCGTCTACGACGAGACCTTTTGGGCGCCCGCGTCGTGGGAGCTGGCCGTAAAGGACCCGGCGCACACGTACCGCTGCAGCAAGGTGTTTGCCGAGCGCGCGGCGTGGGACTTTGTCCAACAGCGGGAAGGGGAGGACAAGCCACGCTTTGACCTGGCCGTCATCAACAGCACCTACAACTTTGGGCCCGTGCAGCGCCGCCTGCCGTCCGTCGACGCCATGAACACGTCCAACCACCGGATTCGCGACATGGTGCTCGGGCGGATGAAGGACAAGATTGAGCCCACGGCGCCCGTCTTTACGTGGGTGGACGTTCGCGATGTTGCCCTATCCCACGTCCGCGCCAT